TCTGGGACTCGCTGGAAATGAAAAACCACAATGCAGCCAGGGGCCCCGTGAAGAAAGCAATGTCCCAGAGCGCGGGGTGGCACCGGGTCCCGTGCCAGCAGGTAGCGCACGGCAGCTTCTCCCTGGCGTCCACTGCAAGGTCCGGGGAGGTTGGAAAGAAGAAAGACGGACTTCGCCCAGTCTCAGGCGGGCTCGTTAGGTTGCCAGAGCCAGAGCAGCGGCCCTGAGACTGCTGAGTGCCCTCAGGCTTGGACGTGCTGGTGCCCTAGCACCCCGCCCGACTCCAACCCCAGGCACCTGCCGGCTGTTTCTCTCCCCGCCCGGCAGCCCGGGAGGGCAAGGCGGGCCGCCTGCTGGGCGCCAAGCCCGCTCTGACTCCGGCTGCTTCTCTCTCCTGCAGCATCATCATGACCATCTCCTCCACGCTGCTGGCCCTGGTCCTGATGCCGCTGTGCCTGTGGGTCTACAGCCGGGCTTGGATCAACACGCCCCTGGTGCAGCTGCTGCCACTGGGCGCCGTGACCCTGACGCTGTGCAGCACGCTCATCCCAATCGGCTTGGGCGTCTTCATCCGCTACAGATACAACCGCGTGGCCGACTACATCGTCAAGGTGAGGCCCCGGCAGGTGCCTTCCGCCCTCTCCGACGCCCGGCTCAGGGGCTGGGAAACGGGAAGAGAGGAGAGCACTTACAGGGTAAACTTCATAGGTACCTTCCGCCTGTGGAATCCCTGTAATGTTAGCTTTAATTGAATCAATCAAGGTGATTGCTTAATTAAAAACAAGCTACGAGAACTCCAAGTTTACACGGAGAGGAGAACCAGGCGGTGGCCGGTGGGGTGGAGGAGACGGCCGTGCAGTTACACGGCGGTGTCGCACAGGGCTTATCGCTGAACATCCGAGCACACTGCATTTCTGCTCTATTTTAGAAATGCACTTTCTAAAAATTTCTAGAAATTTCCCTTTCAAAAGTGGAACTCCGATTCTGAGAGACCCTATGGAAGTTTCCTTTAAAATTGTTTCAATTTTTTAAAAAAGAAGTTGATACTAATAAGACTAAAAACAGTTAATTGAAAAGTTACATTGTGGCACGAGATCTTGGCTTCAAAGCACAAAATTGGACCCTGTAGATTTCACTGCGGTGATTAAATCTCTGTGTTTATTTTTCCTTCCCCATTGGAGCCTTTTATACGGTTTCTGAAACTTTGAAATGGTAGAGGATTTCTATGATTTGATTTAGTATCTCCTACATTGCTTTATTTTTTAAAAATTATGTTTTTGTAGCAGTAGAAATTTTCCAATAATTGGAGAAAAATGTGTAAATTAAGCTTTCTTTGAAAAATAATGAAAAACTATAAATAAGAGGTTCATTTTTAAAAGTTAGTCAAATAAAATACATAACTAGTTACTGTAAAAAGTACAAATTCCTTTAGACAAATAGACAAAGAGTCACTCCAATGTTTGTTATGTAGATTTAAGAAGACATAATCTATAGTGTTTTATTTACATTTTTAGAAGTAATCATTATTCAGAGGAGCCAACTTTTATTAACATGAGCAATAGAGGGTTCTTTTCTATGCATATTCAACCTTCAGATAAATCCATATTAAAGGTAATAAACATATGTGTAAATGTAATAAAAATATTATAAATATACATGTACTTATATTTATTATATATCCTATACCCATAATCTTAAAATACATTAAGAACTTATTGACATAGGAATTAAAAGAGAAAGTCAATCAAATGGCTATTTACACTCTAAAAATGGAATAGGGGCCAGCATTGTGGCATAATGGGCTAAGCTGCCACCTGAAATGCTGGCATCCCCTATGGGCAGTGGTCTGAGTGCTGACCACTCCACTTCCCATCCAGCTCCCTGCTAATGTGCCTGGGAAAGATGGCCCAAGTACTTGGGCCCCTACTACCCACATGGGTGAAGAACTGGCCTGGCCCAGCCCTGCCCATTGCAGCCATTTGGAGAGTAAACCAGTAAATGGAAGATCAATCTCTCTCTCCCTCTAACTCTGCCTTTCAAATAGATAAAATAAATATTTTAAAAATTCAGAAGAAATATACTTAAATAATGGGTGACTCAATAAGATCGGTTACTGTTGAATTTAAGGTGAACCTATCTGTATTCTTTAATTAGCACACTATTAAAATATGGCTTATATAGTGGTTATACTTTTGCATACACTTTATAATGAGCATTCAATGCCAATCTTCACCCAATTTAAAATAGTTCAGAGGAAATTTGGGACTACTGTTTCCTTCCTTCCTTCCTTCCTTCCTTCCTTCCTTCCTTCCTTCCTTCCTTCCTTCCTTTCTTTCTTTCTCAGGCAGAGTTAGACAGTGAGAGAGAGAGAGACAGAGAGAAAGGTCTTCCTTCCATTGGTTCACCCCCCCAAATGGCCGCTACGGCTGGCGTGCTGTGCTGATCCGAAGCCAGGAGCCAGGTGCCTCCTCCTGGTCTCCCATGCGGGTGTAGGGCCCAAGCACTTGGGCCATCCTCCACTGCCTTCCCGGGCCAGAGCAGAGAGATGAACTGGAAGAGGAGCAACCAGGACAGAATCCAGCACCCCAACCAGGACTAGAACCCAGGGTGCCAGCACCGCAGGTGGAGGATTAGCCTAGTGAGCCATGGCACCGGCCGTGACTACTATTTTCAAAATGAAGAATCAGATTTTCTGTCAGTGCTTTCAGTGGGACACAGTTTTAAACAGTAAATTTTGATTTATACTGGTCTGGTTTCTGCCAATTAAACTTCTATAGTACTGCACCTGATAAGAACTTCAGCTTCCTGTAGGGCAGAATTTTTGACCATGTCAGATACGTTTTCAGCACTTTAAAAAAGAGCATAAAGAACTCGTTACGGTCCAGTGTCACAGACTCTGATTTTCCTTCCAGATACTCCCCTGGGGCCAGGCACAACACTTTGAGAAGTTTTTCGGGATCTCTGCCCTCCCTCCCTGACCTGACCCCCATTTTAGAAGTTTTAGGTTTCCATCTTGCTATTTACACAGCCTGCTTGACTTGAATCAGTGACATGTGCCAGTCGGAACATCAGGATGGCACATGTCACCGAATCAGTTGTACTTGATCTAACAGCAGCCTCGCAGAAGCGTTCCGAGCATCATGAGAGGGTCACAGGTGAGCGGTTCCTCAGGAACAGAAGAAAGGGTGGGGAGGCCCCAAATGGCAGTGGATTCCTCCCATCTTTCCCTTACATTTTTTTCTCTTACATAACCTAGGTGTCAGTAATTGATTCAACACAGTAACAGTCTTCTATGGTATGAAACATTTTGAGGGCCAAACAACCACACCCTAAGTTTCATTACCTTTAGGAGTCTTTTCTCGCGTATAAAATCAGAACTGATCTCTCCTGAAAACACAAGGCCTGTTCATGGAGAGGACACGCCCACCTGTCCACTCTGTGCATCAGAGCACAGCTGGGTATCAGGCTCAATTCTCTCTGCTCCATTTACCAGAGGCACAGTCACAGGTTAAACGCATGCTCGGAACAGTCAGGACACCAACACGGAGATCTGTGGTGGGGCTGACATTCTGGGGGACAGTCTGCCTGGAGCGTAGCCTCCCTCTGATTGGGTAGTCACACTTTTGGGGAACAGTTTTTCCAAAGGAGTGGACTGGTCTCTGTAGCACCTGAGGACCTGTCTAGGTCACTTGACCTAAGGTCAGGGCTCCAAACCACGGGAGCTGTCCAGCACAGATCTGGGTGCCTCCTGGAGAGGGGACCCGCAGCTGCCCACCTTCAGAAACTCTGCCAGATTCCCTAGTGCATGGCAAGGAGACCCGCTGAGGATCTTCCTCCAAGAGGTGTAGGATTTTCGGGCCACCTCATTGCTGACGACTTGTCTGTCCATGTTCTGCTACCAGGTGTCCCTGTGGTCCCTGCTATTGACGCTGGTGGTCCTCTTCATCCTGACGGGCACCATGTTGGGACCTGAACTGCTGGCGAGCATCCCCGCGGCCGTGTACGTGGTGGCCATCTTCATGCCCTTGGCGGGCTACGCCTCGGGCTACGGTCTGGCGGCTCTCTTCCATCTTCCGCCCAACTGTAAGAGGACTGTGTGCCTGGAAACAGGAAGCCAGAACGTGCAGCTCTGCACTGCCATCCTGAAGCTGGCCTTCCCGCCGCGCCTCATAGGCAGCATGTATATGTTTCCCCTGCTGTACGCTCTGTTCCAGTCGGCGGAGGCGGGCATTTTTGTCTTGCTCTATAAAATGTATGGGAGTGAAATACTGCACAAGCGAGACCCCCTCGATGAAGATGAAGATACAGATATTTCTTATAAGAAACTGAAAGAAGAAGAAATGGCAGACACTTCCTACGGCACAGTGAAAACAGATAACTTGATAATGATGGAAACGACCCAGACGTCTCTCTGAACGTGGGGACACGCAGGAACTTCGACCCTGCTGAAATATTCTCCCTGTTGATGGCCTGTCGTAGTTCACACGTTTACATAAAGGATGACAACTGGTTCGCATTATCGTGTGTGTAACAATTAGGATCTCCCTATTGTAAAGTGTATTGGTGTCTCAACCAAGTGTTTTCACAAAGTACAGATCCACATCGTAACATAATTTGCACCTGGGATGGCCCAAGTGAAGCCGGAATTAGTTAAATGTGCTTTTGGTTTTCACCATTACCAATTTCTGTGACTGTTTTCGATATAGAAATCATTAGAAAACACAGTCTTGGACATGTAGAATCCGCGTGCTCTATCTTACCTGAGTAAAAACAAGCTATCTGTAAAGTATCCAGTTTAATGTAACTGTTGTAAAACAAAAAAAGTGTGCTTGTTCAACTTACAAATACCCAATAACGCTGGATTTTGACCTGTATTCCAAAAAATTCCCAAATAGGTCCATTAAACGGTGAAATACGGTATTTTATTGTCAGAACGTATCCAACAGCCAATTTCATTAATGAATTTGATTATCTGGTACCCATCAGTAACGAATCGCCAGTTTCCAGTGGACAACCCGTTTTCCTGCCCGTGGATCTTTGATATTTCTGTATCTCTTACTGTAGGAGGAGTGGCTTGGGAGGGAATTTTGTAGCACCGCTCTCCACCCCGGAGCTAAACAAGGCCTCCTGGCCACCGCGGGAGAAGGGGAGCTTGCCTCAGAGCAGAGAGCAGCCGAGGGAACGGTGCCCCAGGCCTGCCCCGTACACCCGCAGGAAGGGCTCAGTGGGCAGGCGTCTCCCCGCAGCTCCGAGAGCACCGAGCTAAGAGGTAGTAGACCCACAGCGGTCCCCAATCTGTGGCATTCCGCCCGCCAGCTGGAGGCACCCGGGCTGCGCAGACACCTGGCGCAGTCGGGGCATGGGGATCACCTGGCCCTGCAATCGGCGATAATTCGCTCTCGTTGGGATCCTTACCCCGGACGGGACGCGCCCACTTCCCAATCAGTACTTCACCGCAGAGGAAGCCTCTTTCCAGGTCACCCGAGGGTGTCTGTGCCAGGCTCTGGGTGCGGAGAGGCCCCTTGGCGGGGACTCCGGACAAGAGGCCGGAGTGGAAGGGCGTGCAGGGTGGCGCGGGCCTCTGGGGCCCTGGCCCGGCAGCCCCCGCAGTCCCGGGCGAGCCGCCTATTTAGGGCGCGGCAGCGGGCGGAGCTACTGAGGCTGCGCTTATGGCTGCGCTGGGGGACGAGGTGCTGGACGCTTACATGTACCCGGCGTGCGCCCCCTACTCGTGCCCGTACCCCTACCCGCCGGCCCCCAAGGGCAAGGGCGCTGCGGCCCGGGACGGCTGGCGGCCCCGAGGCGGGGGCTACCCTCCCGCCGCCGCCTCGTCGTCCTTCCCGGGCTACGGGCAGCTGACGGCCGCCGAGTACTTCGACAGCTACCAGCGGGCGCAGCTCATGGCCCTGCTGTCGCAAGTGAGTCCTGGCCTCGGCCCGCGGCCCCGCAGGCCCAGCAGCCGCGACGTGGCCGTGCAGGTGAACCCGCGCCGCGACGCCTCGGTGCAGTGCTCGCTGGGGCGGCGCACGCTGCCGCGCAGGGCCCGCGACCCCGAGCCCCCGGCTTCCCCGCAGCCCGCCCGCCGGGCGCCCGAGCCGGCCAGCTCCCCGCGGCCCGTGCGCTTCCCGCGCACCGTCGCCGTCTACTCGTCCGTGGTCTCCCGCCGCCTCGCCGCCTTGCTGGAGGGGACCGAGGAGGCGGACGGCGAGCAGAGGCCCGGGGCGCCGGAGGGAGAGCGAGGGCTGCCGCCCGCCAGGCCCCAGGGCCCCGAGGACGGAGAAGCGTCGGCGACGGAGGCGCCCCAGCCGCCTGGCTCTCAGGAGGAGGACGAGGCCCAGGCCGCGGTGCGCGCGAGCTGGGAGCAGCCCGCCGACCGGCCCAGGCTGCCGCCGCGGGAGGCCCAGGGAGGCGAGGCGGCCCCCGGCAGCCCCGAGCAGCCGCTGGCGACCGGGAGGACCCCGGACGGCGGTGACCAAGGCGAGACGACGACCGCTCGAGAGAAGGTCGTGGAGCCGGGCAAGGAGCGCCTGCGCTTCCAGGTGAGGCTGCGTCGACCCAGGAAGCCGTCTGGGGCAAGGGGGAGCCTCGGGGCTGCGGGTCTCCGGGTTCTCGGCCGGCCCTCGCCCCGCGGCTGCCAGGGACACGCAGAGACCCCGCGACTTTGAGCGCGGGCCGCGTCCGTGTGTGCGGCGGCCGGCGGGGGGACTCCGCGCACTGGCCCGGGGGTCGCGTTTGCGTCGATCCCGAGTCAGCCCGCGCAAACCCTACCGGCGGGCTGGGGGTAGGGGAGAGGGGGCGGGTCTTGACCCCAAAGTTGGGTGCTGGACTCCAGAGCACCCGGAGGTGTCTTCTCCAGCGACAGAGCCGGTTCTCCCGGGGCCTCCATTTCCCCCACTAAATGCACTACTGGGTCCTGCAAGCTCTCCCTTAACGGCCTCGCGCTGCAAGCTGGAGGCCCTGGAGGCCCTCCCGGAGGCAGCGTTCCCTTTCAGAAACCCGATTCTGCTCGGGAAGGCGTGCGCGTGGTCTTTGTGTCCCACAAAAGTCCCAGGGCTGTGTGTTTTGAGCCAGAGCCCTCATTCGCAGACTGGCCACACATACAAGGCCGCGTGGCATCCTAGTGACTTCGTCTTACGTGGCTGCATTCAAGTCTGCTCACCTGCAGTTCTAAAGGCCTAACTCTAAAAACCTGTGTGCCGCTTGCTGCGTGCGCCCTGGGCGGCAGGTAGGGAGGCGACAGTATAGGGTAATCCTGACTGTGGCTGACCGAGTGTCCACCTGCTGGCCGTGAACCTGAGCAGCAGCCCCGAGAACTTGATCTTGAGGGAACGCTTTGCAAAGCATCTTGGGTGCAGTCTTGCTCCTCTCGAGCACCACGGCTTCCGTGGGTGTGAGCACGCGCGCCAGGAGCAGGCTACTCTTGCAGGGCGAAGGCCGCCCCGTGGGATTCTCAAGCTCCTTCGGGCCTGTTTGCTTATTTGCCTGACTAAGCTATTGGCTCACGTCATCACTGCGGGGCAGAGGCTGACCCAAACCTGATTCCACTTTCCTCTAGGGGCTGGAGGGAGATTATCTGTGTTAGGTAGCAGGCAATCCGCGTGTCTTGTTGGTAACCTGTGGAATTCTGTTCAGTTCCTAGAGCAGAAATACGGCTATTACCACTGCAAGGACTGTAACATCCGCTGGGAGAGTGCCTATGTGTGGTGTGTGCAGGGCACAAACAAGGTAAGACAGGCTGTGCATCTGGCTTCGGTGCCAGCACATCGGGGCCCTCTCGCTGTGAGTTAATCCTCCTTCTCATCACAGGTTTACTTCAAACAGTTTTGCAGAACTTGTCAGAAGTCTTACAACCCCTACCGCGTGGAGGACATCACCTGCCAAGTAAATCAGATGCTTGCATTTTGTGTCTGGGTGGGGGTGCTGGCAGAGGGTTTTGGGAGTTCCTTGGATGTATTTGTCTTTCTTTTTAAATATTTATTTTACTTATATGAAAGTCGGAGTTAAGCAGAAGGAGAGACAGAGAGAGGTCTTCCATCTGCTGGTTCACTCCCCAGTTAGCTGCAGTGGCTGGAGCTGTACTGATCTGAAGCCAGGAGATCCTTCCAGGTCTCCAAGCAGGTGCAGGGCCCAAGGACTTGAGACATCTTCTGCTTTCCCAGGCCATAGCAGAGAGCTGGATCGGAAGAGGAGCAGCAGGGACTCGAACTGGTGCCCATATGGGATGCCGGCGCTTTAGGCACTGTTCTAAAGTTTTATTTGTTTACTTGAGAGGCGGAATCACAGATGAAGAGACAGAGGTCTTCCATTCACTGGTTGACTCCTCAAATGGCAGCAACAGTGGAGCTGGGCTGATCAAGGCCAGGATCAGCTGCTTCATCCAGGTCTCCCATGCAGGTGCAGGGGCCCAAGTACTTGGGCCGCCATCTTCTATTTTCCCAGGCCGTAGCAGAGAGCTGGATCAGAACTGGAGCAGCTGGGACATGAACCAGTGCCCATATGGGATGCCAGTGCTGTGGGTGGAGGCTTAACTTAGTACCCTACAGCACCGGCCCCTGACTTTAGATTTTTTTATTCTTGCTAGCATTGTAGAAATAATACACAATCAAACTGAGGCCTTGGTATTAACTTCCTTCTGCCCCTGCCCTCATGGGCATGTTAACTTTTTCAACTGTGATCTCAATAGCAGTATGCATGAAAGTTCAGCTTCCCTGCTGTTCAGTCTAATGTCCTTTAAAAAAAGGATAATTCCCTACTGTGGTGAAGTGGTGCAGGCTGGCTGTTTGGAATGAGTGTTCACTAAAAGCATTTGGCTGAGTTGTGAGTACTTCGTGTAAATGCAGGGCTTAAACTGTCATCCTTACCTAACTGCTCACAAAGGGACAACTTGTTTTCAGATAAATCCAAGCTGTCTAACTTTATGGGGTTAATTCATAACCTATTGCTTTTTTAAAACTTCCTTACTTGAAAGGGTGGGGGAGGGGAGGGAGAGAGGTCTTCCATCCTCTCCAGATGGCCACAACAGTGTAGGCTGGGCCAGGCACAAGCCAGGAGCTTCTTGCAGGTCTCCCATGTGGGTGCAGGGACCCAAGCACTTGGGTCATCACGTGCTGCTTTCGCTGGTGTGTTAGCAGGGAGCTGGATTGGAAGTGGAGCAACCCGGACTTGAACTGGTGCCCACGTGGGATGCGGGATGCCGGCATCAAGGGTGGCTCTACTGGCTAAGCCACAGCGCCGGCCCCTGCTTGCTTGCTTTTAACTAAGCAGTGTGCTGAGGGCTTGGCATGGTCTTCACAGGGCAGGAAGTGACTACAGTTGTCATGCAGCTAATGGGAGCTGAGGCGCCAGCTGAAGCAGCCTGATCAGTGCACTTGTGTCCTGTTGGCTGTTGGGTGTTAATGTTGCCTGGGGTGGGTGGGGAGAAAGCAAGGGAGAACCGTTGCGGGTCACTGTGGGGCACCCTTCTCAAGGGTACCTTACCCGCTCCGTCAATCCTCCCCTGCTTGCTTGTTCTCCTTTCTATGCACTTCAAATGCAGGAGGAAAAATGTCCTCTTACCAAGCCATTTGAAAACAAAGCTCACGATTCAGAATCGAATCCAGTGCTGTGTAGCACCCTTCCAGCACGGTTAGCACCCTCAGTTCCTAACCGTGTGGCTGCCAGGGCCGCGGGAGTGTAGACAGACAAAACGCAGGTGTGCGCGGATGGGGATGGCCGGGGCCTTGCCAGGGGCTTCTCGGCCTACTTCTCACTTGGACTTTTCCAGAGTTGCAAACGTACGAGGTGTTCCTGCCCGGTGAAACTTCGCCACGTGGACCCTAAGCGGCCCCATCGTCAAGACTTGTGTGGGCGATGCAAAGGCAAACGCCTATCCTGTGACAGCACGTTCAGCTTCAAGTACATCATCTGAGACAGTGCAGAGCAGGCCGGGCTGCGGCGTGCTGCGGGGCAGGCCCGGGGCGTCCTCCTGGGCTCCCCCTCCCTCACAGTACTTCCAAAGGCAGTATGTTTTGACAGAGCCTCCAAATAAAGGTATTGCAAAACGATCTACAGACTGCATAGAATCCCACGTCCTCTAAAAGTCTGCGGAGGGCTCGTCGCGGGCTGCGAGTCTGGCCTGGCACTTGCGCGTTGGTTGATGTGTCACAGGCCAGCCTCTGAGCTAGGTTAATGCTGCGGAAATTGGAGGCCTGCAGACAGGGTGCTTCAAAAACCTCGTGGGGAAAATGGAAGGGAAAGAGACTTTGGGGCAGATGCCGTGTTGCTGTGGGTTGAGCCACCGTCTGCCGTGCCAGCGTCCCCTCTCGGCACCCGTGTAGTCCCGGCTGCTCAGCTTCTGATCCAGCTCCCTGCTCATGCTCCTGAGAAAGCAGATGATGACCCGAGTCCCCGGGCCCCTGGCACCCATGTGGGAGACCTGGATGGAGTTCCAGGTTCCTGGCTGTGGCCTGGCCTAGCCCAGGCTGTTGTGGCCTTTTTGGGGGAGTGAACCAGCAGATGGAAGATTCTGTCTGCCCCCCACCCCCAACTCCTTTCCTCTCTCCCTCCCTCTCTTCTGCCTTTCAAAGATAGGGTTTTTTTTTTTTTTTTTTTTTAAGTTTACTTTGGAGCAAAACTTTAAAATCTGTAGCTTAAAATGTCTTTCCATGAACTTCCTAAGGATATCTAGTATGCATGTATTTGAAGTCCCAGGTAGGTCTGTAGGGTTGCAACTTGGGAGCCTCTCCTGGCCGCACCTGGGGAAGTAGAGCCAGTGCATTCCTTGGGATGGGAGGAGGCTGCTGAAGGCAACCCATCGTGGGCAGTGAGTGGCTGGGGTGGGGGGTGGGGAGGGAGTGGCAGTCAGCTGCAGTGCAAACAGTCGGGGAAGAGGGCTAGGAGCACTCGCCTAGTTGCAGCTTCCCAGGCTGGCGCAGGTTGCCCTCTGCAGCTTAGGAGGTTGAATGAAGCCTCAAGTGCACTTCAGATGGTAACAAACTCCCCGGGCCGCCCCCGCCCCCCAGCTTGTAGAATTGGGCCTCCTGAGTTGTGTTTAAGGGTCTCGGGTCAGAGGCCGGCGCCGCGGCTCACTAGGCTAATCCTCCGCCTAGCGGCGCCAGCACACCGGGTTCTAGTCCCGGTCGGGGCGCCGGATTCTGTCCCGGTTGCCCCTCTTCCAGGCCAGCTCTCTGCTGTGGCCAGGGAGTGCAGTGGAGGATGGCCCAGGTGCTTGGGCCCTGCACCCCATGGGAGACCAGGAAAAGCACCTGGCTCCTGGCTCCTGCCATCGGATCGGCGTGGTGTGCCGGCCGCAGCGCGCCGGCCGCGGCGGCCATTGGAGGGTGAACCAACGGCAAAAGGAAGACCTTTCTCTGTCTCTCTCTCTCACTGTCCACTCTGCCTGTCAAAAAAAAAAAAAAAAAAAAAGGGTCTCGGGTCAGAGACCGTGTTCAGCCTCTATCGACTGAACATCAGTCGTTCGGTTCTCCTTGGGCCTGCACCTAGCTAGTGTTCCTAAACGACCCCACAACACAGGGTCCACTGCCGGCACCCTGCTTTGGGCGGCACTCACAGCCATGGGTGCTTCTGAGAAGACTGGAGGGACTGCCGGCTTCATGATAGGAGTCGCAGCTGCCGCTGGGTGCTAACCGTGCCATCCAAGGTCACCTAGAAGGCACCAGAAGTGTCTGTAGACACCTTGGCCATTGCAGCCAAAGGGGCTGCGAGAGCTGCAGGCTGAGGTCTCCCTAGGTGCTGCTGGTCACAGTGCAGCCTCCCGGGCCCCCGCGCCTACTCACTCTTGGGTGACGTACTGAAACAAGCACCCCACTATGAAATCGAGCATGAGCTGCTGGGTTCAGTTGGCTTCGATGGGGCCCCTTTCCTCAAGGAGCTTCCAGTGTAGGGGCTAGATGAACACTACCTCTTGCATGAGGAAAGTGAAGTGGGAGTTGACACGAGCTGTGCAAGGCCTACTTAAGAGCCTACACTAAATAGGCTTGACTTTGGGAGGCCAGGGAGGGCCTGCCTTACAAGAATGCAGCTGAGCTGCAGCCCGAGTTAGGTGAAGATGGGACAGGGAAATAGTCCAGACTTGGGCAACACATGCAAAGGCCCTGTGGTAGAGAACCCAGGTGGCCACAGTAGTAGCTAAAAGTAGTAGGACCATTGCTTAGGCCTTGCTCAGAGGATTAGTTTTTTTATCTAGTCACCATGAGAAACCACTGAAAGGTTCTAAAGGTGTGGTGTTGGTAGTAGGGCCTGTGACAATCCGATTCATTGTTAAAAACAACCACATCTATACAGGATACCTGTAAGCAAGCCGGGAGACTTTCAGAGTCCACATGAAGTGGTGGTGGGGCCAATGGGAAATGACTGGAGCACTGGGAATGAGGAGGGGATGTTTTCACCTGTGCTGACATTGCCATTGACTTGGGTGGTGCAAGGCTAAGAGGTTAATTTGCCTCCCCTGGTGTGCAAGTGGTACTTGTGGTATGTGTGGTCAATAGGCATTTGCTGAATAAATGGAGCAACTAGAGACAAGGACCAGCGATGAGAGAAATCCACTGGCTGTTACTGGCTGGTTACGTCATTCTTCAACACTGTTTGCCATTAATCTACCCCGCGGGGCAGTCCACCCTGTTTTTATGGTTGGGGAACACAAGGGTCAAAGTGTGCCTTTTAGGGTTAGCAGACATTCAGCTACTGAACAGGGTGGCAGTGACAGCATCGTAGCAACAAGGTACAGACAAACCAGGCACGCGTAGAATCGGCGATTCCTAAGACGTCAAGTCTGAGAGGGGCTACAGGGAGGTACCCCAAAATGTCCTCTCTGGGCACGGGAACAGGATGCGAGCCTTCTCCGTGTCACCTGTTTCCTACAGTGACCATGGGTGACTGAGAACCGGAGACAGACTCTGTGAAAGGAGCACAACGTTGACTCGCATTTTGTCTCCTCTCCCTCGGCAGTGGCGGTGCCGTGGCCGGGCGCTCGTCACTCCCAGAACTGCAGGAGGAACCGCGTTCTGGCTTGGTGAGTGTCCTCCACGAGACGGGGAGTGAGTCCCACACCCCGGTCTCACAGCACCGGAAAGTCCTCTTCCTTTGCTGTTATTTGACAACTTCGTGGCCAAAAGAGAAAGGTGGTAAATAGCAAGAGCTGGCCTCTGTGTGGAACTAAATGAGAAGACACACTAGTCATTGGACGTGTCTTACTAGTAGTGCTAACTTTGGATTCACGCATAGGTGTGCAGAAAGCCCAGGTACAACAGGACAGTCCTAATGGATTTGCACTTTGCCTTCTGCAGGCGTATTTGTTCTATGTTACTGTCGGATTTAGTTAGACAAATACATGCAAAAAGCGATCCTCAACTGTCCGAGAGGTTTGGTTTGGGGAGTTGAATTTTGTTGTTACATTTAAGAAGAATGAAGGTAACATTTGAAAGCTGAGGCACACTATGTGGATTCATTCTTTTTCAAAAATGCAACATAAACCAACAGCTACAATGCTTTTTATTTTTAACAAAAAGGATGTAAGGAGGGTGAGAAAAATAGGGGATAGTAAGATAGGATGTAAAGTGTGGTGTGTCTCTGGACACCATCCCTCTGTTCCTGCCCCACACCCAAAAGTTATTAAATAATTTAAAGGACACCATTTACAGTACCAGAACACCATCAAAATAATTGTTTTTATCAGGGTCAAAAAATACAGTGATTACGAATGTGCCGTGACCAGTTACGGAATCTTACGGGGAGCATGACTATGGTCAGCAGTCCAACGGCGTGCACAGTGCCTTCAATTAATGCACTTGAGCAGAATTACATTTCTGGCAGGGTCCACGCCCCCAGGAAAAGGCAAAGCCAAGCATTTCATTTCTACATTCTAAACTCTGGAGTCACAGAGCCCAGTTTAAAAAGAAAAGTCACAGTGGATAAGAGATGCATATAAAAAATACAAGGTGTTCCTTTCAAATCAGAGGAGTTGTGGGACTACATTCATTTCTTTTACAAAATGCTATTTAAAAAAGGTCAGAGAATCCAGTTCCTGTTAAGCGCCAGACGTAGACAGTGAGTGAGTATATTGCATGTTTTGGTAGTCAGTCTTCAGGCTTCCTTTCATTTTCCCCATAGCCCCGGGTTCCTTTCAGGTGAAACACATGAGTCCTGAATCAACATATAAAAATGCATTTGCATCTCTTTTCTGGAATTCCGCAGACCTCGGAGCCTGCAAGTCGTATATTCTGTCAATGACCACAATTTTTTCTTTAGCTCTGTACACCTGTTCTTGTATAACAGTGCATGGCACAAATGTACAAGAAAATACTGGTTTTTAGTCTATACAGTTTCTATAATAATTATGGGCTAGAATAAGTTAACTGTTGTGATGAGAACGGCTGACGGGCAGCGTACACCTTTATTTTACACTTTAAAGTCTCTGCAGGCATCTACTTTGGTTAGTTATCGACAACAGTAACAGAAGCACTGATCAGAGGACTGAGCAGCATTCCAATAACGTTAACAGATATATTATTTCTTTCTGAAATACCGGGAAAGCCCAGTTTTAAAATATTATTAAAATGTTCTAACATTTACACACTATGAAGAGTTAGATCTAATAAAATAAAATTTCTTCAAAAATAATCTTGCAGTGCTCTTTTAGGCATGCTCTGAGACGTTATCACCAAACATCCACGCCTTGAAAATATGACTGTCACATGTCCATACAGCCCAACTCTCTCTCCCTCTCTCTCACACACACATACACACACACACGTAATTCCTTATACAGACCAAAAAAAAAAAAAAACCAGAACAAAAACACCCCAATTCCTCAACCCACATAATGAAAAATCAATGGTTTTTGCAAATAAGTCTTCTGTGTACATCTATCCAAATGGATGTTCATGGAGGCGAGTAAGCATCAAGTGAGGGTTACGTCTGTGACTGCTAGAAACCCAAGCAGCTTTGCAGGTCTTCGGCTAAAACGAACCAGCCTTATTTCAGCCTCATTTCACCTGCTTTCCGATGTCTCAGTATTAGAGGCCATTATTGCAAACACTTCTGGAAT